GTCTTTCCCTCCATATAGAAATGACAAACAGGAAAAGGCAAAAATACATATTCCACAGCATAGACTAAATATAGGATTAGAAGTGGAAGCAACATAGAATGTAAAAAAACCCCAATCCCAATAAATCTTTTCTTTGCTAATGTTCATTAAATTAATATTTTTTCTTATATTTTTTTCTTTTTTTATATATGTCACCATTAATTATAAAGATAAGAAAATGATTAGGAGGAAACTAAATGATAGAATGTTAGAAATGCAAAATGGTTCAAAATATTAATGTAATGCTAAGGATGACTGCGTAACAAATGGTACATTTGCCAGTATGCTTGACCTGACACAATTAATATTCCAGGTCATGCTTGGGTTTCCATGATGGAAGGTCTGAGGCAGAGAATTCTAGGGGAAAAATATATCTATTGTATAACTCATTTCTCTCTCTTTTCTTTTTTCTTTTTTCTTTTTTTTTATTTTCCCTGACGAGTCAGAACCATAGTCTTAAAAAAAAAATAAAAATCTGTGCTTTCACACCTCATTTGCCATATTCACCACTGGGCCACCATTCACCAGAAGGGCCTGATGCAAGGAGGTCAGTAAGAAGCTATTAGCAGAGTCCCCTCCTGAGATTTCTTTGGTCTTATTGAGGTGGAAGTTAGCATGACAGTACTGCAAATAACTCAGTTGTAGGTTTTTTAACAGTTAGCACAGATTTCCCCATAGTGTTTGTCACTTTAGAAAATTGTTCCTGGAAATGAAGTCCCAGAAAGCTGGCTTTGACAGAGGCCCTTCTTAGCTGTGAAGAACATGGGTACAGAAAAATGTCATTCTCCCTGCAGACAGGAGGTACTTTTGGTAACCTATCATAACATTTTGGAGGGCAACATATTTTCTTATGAACTAAAGGTGGGGGAAATATTGGAGTCAAAGTATGAGGTAATATCTCAAGACAGATACTCTTATATCATTGAAAAAGCAGTATTAACTACAATGATTTTGTATCGAGAAAATATTATATAAAGTGGGGAAAAGATAAAGTAACACTTTTAACATGTTGTGCTGGTCTCAAGAAGATATGGAAATTTATTAAGTACCGAAGGCTTTGATCCTCCAGATTCATAGATTTCCACAGACTGCTGGCTCCCTGCAGATAGAGTGAATAGGGCATCCATCAGCACACAGCAAATGTGCAAGAAGTTACGAAAATAAAGACTCTGATTTGCAGAAATATTTAAAAATGCGTGGAGCAATTTTGACAGAGATTGATCTGAACTAGAAAGTAGACTCAAACTCACCCCATTTTCTCTCCTACCAATCTTTGCCAATTTTAAATCTAGGCCTGAAACCTTACCACAAACCTTGGGGAATTTTGAGTAAATTAGTATTAATTTTATCTATCTAGATACGAACTCCGCTGATTGCTCTGCTATGTGTCTGTTTGAATACCTGAACATATGTAATTAAAATGTAAAGCAATTAACAAGGATTGTTTGAAAAATTATTATTTAAAAATGCACTTTATAATCAATTTTGACCCAGATCTTATGAAAAGTTTCAACTGTAGAAGAAGCCACAACTTTTAAAGTGTCTAACTGGCCTCCCTAGAACTCCAAATCTGTTTTCATACTTTGTACACTATCTGTATGTTTAATCTAATAGCACGTAAAAAAAAAGAACAACAAAAAATGGCTCTTTGTTAAGACACTTTTTCAGCAATAATAGTTCAAAAGATACTGAATCAATGGGTTCCCACACCTATTATGGCTAATTTTGGTGTAATCAGAAGCGCTAAAAGTCAGTCCTATTTGTTCACCTTGAGATACTCAGTGGCATTTCACAGTGTTTGTGAACTATGTTTCTTTCTACTGCCAAACTTTTAAATGAAGAAATGTCAGGTAGACTATACACAGTATCTCAATATAGATTGCAAAATGCAGTTTTGGAAAGACATTATATGCTTGGAGCCATTTATATGTGCTCTAAGTATGACTAACAGAAGCAATCCCATTTCTTAGAGCCCAGACAGCATATCATTTTAAAGTGATACTTGACTGTAACTCTTCAGTGGAAAAAATGTTTAAATTATTTAAGATACAGTATTTTTCTGCTTTAGGGAAGCAAAAACCGATAAACAAACCTGTGCTATGCACATTGAAATTTTTTTGTTGTTGTTGTTTAAACTTTCCTACCCAGTTTACTCTTCAGCTTTTTAAATTTCAAAGAAAAGGCTTAAAAAGGGGTGTAGATTTTAAGCAGATGTAGCCCTGATCAGGATTTGCTACAATCAACAAATCCATGCTTGCCAACTTCAGAGAGTCATTATTATGCCATAGTGGTATATTCCAGATTATCTGGATTCTAATTGATGCGCATGGAGATGTTTTTCTACGGGAAAACATTTACATTTTCAGTGACATTGTAGTTTTTTACAAAATATGTGTTTCACAGACGTACCGTGAGAGAGCAGTACCTCTCCCACTAGCTGGGACCTCAGCAGGCTCATGGAATGGCTAGAATACAGTCTCCACGTTAGGTAGGATTCAACAGCTGAATATAGGTGGTGTAGGAATGGGTGAAAAGATGAAGTAACAATACAATGAGCAGTTCAGTGAAATGTGAAAAATAGGTAGTCATAGGCAATCACTTTTCTATTTGTCATCAACAGAGTAAAGGCAAAATTTCATTGATCAGAATGTCGGCAGATCCAATGGCCATGGTAGGACTACTGTGTAAAGAGCCATAATGACCATGGCATAGATATGGTTTGTATATCTCCAGCATAGAATCTAATTTGTATGGAAGACCTTGACTGGACATTTTATGTTTGAGAGAATTTGCGTAACAAGTATATAGTGTAAATGCATTCAATAATTGGGGAACAGTGCAATAAAACCTGAGACAACATATGGAACTTGTGTTTATGTAGCACTCACAGGTCACCAAGTGTTTGCAACAAAATTATACTGGGCTGATGAGAAAATTGCAATGGGACAATGTATGAAATACTACAAAATTAAGCTTTTAAGATGCAGCTGGATTTTACAGATGGACCTGCAATTTCTCAGTTTCTTCAGTGATTCTGCTTGCCTGTTATTTGAAACATGGATTCCTGACATTTTAGTTTGGCATCCTGAAGAGCTGAAGGAACAATCAGTGGTTGGCATACATATGTTTTTAACATGTTTATTCATGTCCTCTTTTGCATTACACATTTAGACTGATAGTGTAGTGGAATAGTTTATAGGGTTTTCACTAAGAGGGGAACATATAACAGAGGGCCAAAATAAGTTGTCATTAGGGCCAGATCACTTACAGAGTTGAAGAATGTAGCCCATAAAATTTTGAATAGCCCAACAATATTTTGAATAAGCTACCATCTCTGAATATAGTTGTCCATGAAAAAGTAAGTTTATACAGGTCTTATTTAACTGTTTTGACACATGAAATTGGAACTTCCCAGTAGGATATGTTAATGAAAAATGCATTAGAACTAATTGGGGAGTGTTCAATCCTCTCAGCCCCAAGAGACTGATACTTTATGAGAAGGCTGATGCTCTACTTATTTTTCTCGTGGGTCCTCAGTAGTGTTCCAAAGGAGAAATGCAAGTTTTAAAATATTTACTCTTTTCCTTACCTTTCCCCACATTATGAAACTGTTTTCTTTTCCTACTATTTTCATTCACTACTTCTTAGCAATTTAATTTGTGATAAAAGCAAAGGACAATGTATTTTAACTAAGCCAACCTACTTTAGAAGTCTGAGTATACTGTTGTAGAAAATATGATTATCCTTAAAGCAACTGAGTATCTTTCAATTAATTTTTGCCAGGTGTATTTTAAGGATATATCATCTCTTTTACAGGAAATTTAGCAGCTTTGTGTAACAAGGTATAGGAATTCTTATGTTTAACAGTTCATAATTAATTCAGTAAACTCACGTATGTCTATCTGAGAATTGTTTAGACACAACTGATAAATTCCCTACATTTATAAGGAAGATTTGGGAACAGTCTGTCACATAATTTTGACTTGCCAGATATTCACAAGTTGTTAATGACATAGATGACTAGTTCAGAATTTGAAATGTATACTTTATATTAGTAATTATTCTATTAGATCACAGTAGTGACGCAATTAAAGATACGTCCTGAAAAAATTAAATCTCAAATTCAGTGAAGAATGAATCTTTCAGTTTAATTCAGAATTGAGAAATTTTTATTCTAAATTTTTGTTTTTCACAAGTTTTATGCTATTAAAGTCAAATACATTTAAATAGTTAAGGAAATTTAATGTGAAGGTTTTGTAGGAAAAAAGCAATTACTTTTTTTGGTATTCCATAAATTTTCTTGTATTTTGTCTTAACTAATCACTCAGTTTTACTTTTAAAAATGCTGCTGTTGCCACTGTCTTAGTCCACATTGTGAGTCAGCTAGCAGATTTTAAAGGGACAAGAGTTATGTTCCCTTGCACAAGCATTTATTTTTCTCTCTAAGTATGTGTTTGGAAATTATGGGTAATATATTTTTTTTCCTATTGTGTAAAGGCATTTAAATTGGAGTTTAAATTAAACTTTAAATTTCAAAACAACTATAATAGCCTGCCTTTAAAACTGGTTACAAGTTTGTGCGCTTTCAATTATTTTTTAAGGGAAAACTGGCATGTTTCTTTGACTACTGCTGTGGAAGGTAGACGATTGAATGTGACTGAAAGAAAACACGGGTTTGAGATACAGGAAGCTCTTCCTTCCATAAAATGAAAGTTACCTCCATCTGAAGGGCTGAAACACAGATTATGCATTACATTATCCTGTTTAAACCCTTTTGTGACTGTAATGCAATGCCTAGAGATGCATTTAAACTGTAGATCTATCCCATGTCAATAGTCGCCAGAAACTTTGTGTAGAACTGTTTATTATATAGGGTTTTTTTAATTGATTTGATTTATAGAATAAATGCAAAAATGAGTTCTAATTAGTTGAAGTCAAAGGTAACCCCATCTTCTGCTCAGATTGCAGGCATCTACAATTCACCATTCAGAAAATCCCCAGATCCAATGGAACTGCTGCTACGGAAGTCAAAGCCATTGAGCCACAGACGGCAGCAAATGAAGAGTCCCTTTGCCTATGAGCTGTATGACTGGCCAACTTGTAGAAGGCCTCCGGCTTTCTCCACAGCCCAGCCTCTGCCACCTATTGGCAGACAGAAACCTCAGGTAACATTTTTCAGTCTCTCTGAGGTAACTTTTTTTCATACCTTTTATCATAGGTTATCATAGAATATCTCGAGTTGGATCATCGAGTCCAAAAATCCCTTTTATGATTTGTTTTTTGTTTGTTTTGTTTTGTGGTGGTTTTTTTTTAAATAAATCTAGTTCTTGAATTCAGGATATAAGGTCTTTGAAACAGGCTTGTCTTAAAGAAAAAACAAAACACCTAGGTCGTACGGAAAAACAGGGAAATATGATTCTTTAGATTTTACTTTTTTCCTTCGGGGAAGAAAAAAGTAATTTCCAATATTTCAAAGGGAAGACGTGATATAATTGAATAATAGCATTATGATTCATTAGAGGCAGAAGTCTTAATTTCCAATTTTAAATCAATTTACAAAATAGGAGAAATTAAAGGTAATAGGACAAATTAACCAGTTGTGATAACTTTTTCCTTTTTTTTCCAATTGTTTTCCATATGAAGGCCAAGAGAAATCCTCTCAGTATAGAATAGTTCCTGCTCTTTTGTGTCCACTGGCTATGTGGATTGATTCAGATTTCATTACAAAAAATTCTTCATTTTGTTTTGCATTACACCCAAGCTGCCCAGCTCCTATTCTTAGCTGCCATGATCTTGATTTTAGTTTCGGTTGATGTCAGTATATTTTATTTTTCTCTTCTATATAGAATGGAGATCTCTGAGATAATTCATCAGAGTGAATATCAACAGCTTTTGCCACCTTATTACCAAAACCTACTGAGACTATCCCCAATATACACAGCAGACGGACTTCTGGGACCTTTGTGTTCCTCATTTGATGACAATACAATGACATGTAGCTTTTGCCAGTAAATGCCTGATACAGTTACTTTTGGCATAGAAGTATTATGTCTTTCCCTCTGTTCTGAAGAATTTTTCAGTTTTCCCAATCTACTGAACCTTTTACTTACCTCACACATACGCTTTAAGTAGTGCTTTGACTTTGAATAACCACAATGTCTTCAGAACTTCTTACACTTTTTTTTGGTACTCTGTCCTGTATTTAAATTTTCTCAGCCTTATTTTGCTTAGAAAGACAATGCTTCTAAATGAGTCCTTTTCAGTAACTTTCACTGAAGCTATCATTTAGCTGCAGAAGTTAAACAACAATAATGAGCAATAAGCAATGTATTATATAACTTTATTGGTATTTTACACCTCTGAATTAACATGGTTATTTTCACTGTATTACTACAGCCTTTGGTAGGGTGATCTGAACACAGTCTTACGTTTGAACTACTGCTAGGTTCAAACTATGTGTACACATGCTATATGCCACAATTTGCATGTGGCTTATTGATTGCATCCACATTGTTCTTCAGTGGGGACAGCAGTGGGCATACTGGCTAACCCACACAGAAGAGGATTATCTCACCCGTAGGTTGAACTTACTTGTTTGTAGCAGGATGATTCTGTATCGGTGGTGGGACATGAAGGCAAAGGCAATTAATTGGGTTAGAGCATGAGAAGAAGATGCAGGCCTGCCAGAATACCTCTGGAGAAGTAGAAGTGAGCTGCATAGAGATCCACACTGCTTATAACATAAGGATCAGCTTCAGGGCAGTTTTCCACCTTTGTCGTTCCCTCCTTGTGTACTCCCTACTTTGGCTGCTTGAGCTTCCTCGTCAGATGAACTCATTGACACATTAGGATCAAAACAAAGTGTGAGCCAACAAACAGTTTTGTTGATCAGGGAATTTGGAGTTGAGGTAAATACTGCATTATAGCTTTACCTTCTGGGACCAGAGGGGCTATGACAGTCCTTCAGTGGGATGTCACTGAGTGCATCAGTCTTCCCCTCAGGATAGAGGGGAAGATTTTGCCTAGTGGACATGGTACAGGAAACGTGCTTTTAAGTAAAAAGGGAACTCAGAGGTTTTCCATTGTTAAGTTGCTCTGGCAAAACTGCTTTACTGTACACAAAGTATCTTACAAGCTTCTGTTTGGATTTGGAATATTTTAGACCTTTCTGAGTTCAGACGCATGCACAGCAGTCGTGCACAGATAGCCTTTTAGAACAAACCAGAAGAGTTCTGTTTATTTTCTGCACCTCAAAGTGGGAATTTACTATATAATACTTTAATCCTTTCAGCACCCTGGGATGTACACTGTGGGGTAAATTTTCAAAGCACAGCGCGTGGATTTAGCGGCGCGACTCTTATTGATGTTAATGGGAGTCACACGGCTAAATCCCTACACAACACTTTGACAATTTAGGGTTGTATGTCTAAGAAAAGGACACTGGTTTGAGCTGATGAAACAGCTGGAAATGAAAACCCATCAGAACACATCATCCTGAAAGTTGTCTGGTGTGACAACAAGGAATTTAATTAGTAGATACACTTGTGTCCTAGTTCTCTGTGGTAACACCTTTTGGCACCAAGCTTCTTTTTCTAGTACCTATCAGGCCCACTGTGAGTCACTTGTTACTTCGCTGTTCTTTCATGTATCTAAAATTTGTATTGCCCATAGAGTTGGATATTTTATATGATAATGTTGATTATATATGTTTGAAAGAACAAAAATTAGCTAACTACCAGCTTTCCCTTAGAGAAATGGATATTTAGCATTTAGGTAAGCTCTATGTGTGTAAGATAGTGCAATTAAAAGAAAAGTTTTAATGATGCTTATACATCAGTTAGATTTATCATTTTTATTACTGAGATAACTAGAATTACAGTTTGATGGAAACACAGATAATGCTAAAATTAGTCATCTGTTCATTAAAATGCATTAATAACAGAAAGCATATTGCCATTTCTGGGGGATTTTTTCCATGCTGTTAGCTCTCCTTGAATGAGGGCAGTGAAGAACGTATGATTTCATGTAGTTCATAATTTTCATCATGAGTTTCTGATTTTATGGTAAAGTAGTAAGAATACCAATCTGCCAACCTTTATCTGGCAGATCGACCAGTAGTGAGAAGATTTATGCTACTCAGTACAAATTGCAAACAGAATATAGGGTTGTATGAGTTGCTTTCAAGATGAAAACTGTTGATTGACTCCATCCCTTGCTCTCCTAACCTGACCTCACTAGGAAGACCTCCATTTTGAAGCAGGATGCCTGAAATGCTTACAGGCACTGCCAATTTGAAAACATTTGTAAGCACCATTCTACCATAGATTCCACAAATCTTAATCTTGTACAATGGAAATAGGTAAATGGATTTTTTAGAGGCCTTGTCATCTTAGATATATTCCTTAGGTGCCTGTTGCTAGATAAGTTTCTTCAAATACATGATTCAGAGGAGTGGAAAAATCTGCAGGGAATGTTTAGAATATTCTTAATACTCTAACATATATACCCCACTTTCATTAGTGATAACACA